AATTGCAGGATTGTATGTGGACAGAAGACATTACCATAAAATTTCAGCTTCCTGGCTTTTATGGTTTCCGAGATAATAATTTTCCTGGTAAAATTTTCACGCGTGGGCAGGGGGTTACTGCACTAAAATTTCATCTTCGCATATACAGTGGTTCCCGAGATAATAATTTATCCGCAAAATTTTCACGGGGCTGTTCGTGTTACCCGCCGACAAGAAAAAGCTGGATTTGAATTTTCTGGATCGCGTGTAGCTACGGGGAAATGCCCACAAAATTTCAGCCCTCTAGCTTCCGTGGTCTCCATGATAATAACCTTACCCGCCAAAACTTTTACGGTGTCGTACGTGTTACCCGCGGGTACGGGGGGCTGAATTTAAATTTGCAGGGTCACACGTGGGTGGGGGACGTTCTCCAAAATTTTCAGCTTCCTAGCTTTTGTAGTTCTCGAGTTGAAAGCTGCGGACAAGTTGCTGCGGACACACACACACACACACACACACGCAAACATACACACAGACAAACCCGTGACAATATACGTTTTATACTGCTGTCACATAGCACAAAACGCATAATAAAAATTTGAGATTTATGAAATGAGGACAAAAAGTGCAGGAATCAACAGTCTGTACATCGTATCGCTAAAAAATTATTATTTCCATCCCGATAATTCAAAAATGTCTCGGGGAGTAACAATAAAATAGCAGAAGAGAGCTCAACTAATGGTACGGGGAGAATGACAGAGCTTCAGAGATAGCAACACCAATAAGTGCCGATACGAGGCATTATGTCCGGTATTAATTAGTTCCAGCACCAGTAATTCAGCCAAGCTAATCCCTAACGATGAAGAGTACCCGCAGCAAAGCTTTTTTGCCCCCTATTCTCATTTCCCCGGGGTAGCTTCGTTTTCAAGAAAACAGTGCAAAAAGATATTTTTCTGATGATTGCAAAAGACCAACAAAAGACCGACATAGGTCAACAAAGAGCATTTACGATCAGAAAACGAAGATTGCCTGGCCAATGTCACTAAGTCGTAATTGAAAAGTTAGCTCATTTCAAATCGGGGAGCTATACCGACCAATCTGAGAGGGAAGGGGGATGTGACCTTACTGAGATGTGCCCGCAAGCGATCCTTGGGGACACATCTGCAAGTGATCCTTGTTTGCTTCTTTTCGCCATAAGAATTAATCATCATACACAAGCTTTCAAGAGCACAGAACCGGATAACATCTTTTCAGAAATTCAAAAAAAAAAAACTAGGTAATGAGGAAAAAGGGATGAATAAAGCCTTAATAACAGCAAGGACTCCATTAGCTATAAAAAATAATGGAAATTAACTATTTTGGATTTTCAAAGGTGAAATATTGAAGTAAATTATTATTGTCCTACCTCATCTCTCTTGTACAACAACCCCCACTCGCTAATGCGGGGTTAAACTTAACGAGAGAAAAATACCAAAAAAAAACCAGTTTAATGGATGTAGATCACTATGAAGCCACTGGAAACAATGCACACTGATTCAGCTCCTCAGCGTCCTGTACAAAAAAGAACAAACCTGAGCATTGCGCCTACGTATCCGATGAACATTGTCCATGACAACATCCGTTTCATCCACAATTTCGGCCTGAAGAATCTCTTCAACAATATCCTCCAACGTAACGATTCCCACAAGTTCGTATGTTGGATCGACCTCTTCTGATTCCACGATACGCTGCACCATTGCCAGGTGGTAATCACCCTCAAAGAAATAATGCATGAGATGCTAGTCAAAAATCAAACCATAAGCACTACAGCATAAAAAAGCAGAATTGTAGTAATTCCCCCAGTCCGTGAAGTTACCTCAGCAAGCTAGTGACCATCCCATCTGTCGCAACGAATCGCGAAAGAAAAAGAAAACGGAATGAAGTGATTATTCCCAACGTCGCATTGGGGAACATTGGGAAATACTTGTGATCGTTTTTTCTTTGCCGATGTAAAGTTATTTTATCTCGAGCTCAGTAACCCGCGAAAAGGTTTGCAATTGTTGGGTTGAGCTTCCCGGCATCACCCACCCGCAGCCAAGCAAGATCTCCGAATTCGATGAGGTTACCCTAACTCCTAAAAACGCACCAAATATGGACTTCTGGTGATTACAAGGTGTTACATTTCCTTTGAAAATCTCTTCCATTTAAGAAAGCAATCGTGCATGCGAACTGGGTACTGGAGAAGCTGCAAAAGTCTAACCGCGAAGAGAAACCTTGGCTTTCCCCGTCCATGTAGATGTTGGTGCACAGAAAACCATCCCCCGCGCAAGCGTGGTACTCGCGTACGGGGCCGGCAGAAATTTTTCGGGCAAGTTCATAACTCGGGAATCTGGGAAGCTAAAACGCTGAAATCATAGGGGAACGTTCCCCGTCCAAGTAATACAT